GAAAAAGAAGGGAAAAAGAGAAGATGAATGATGAATGAAGAAGAAGAAAAAGAGCTCGTAGATGAAGACAGAAGAAAAAGAAAAGACGAAGAAGAAAAGAAGAAGAAGAAAGAGAAGAAAGACAGAAGCAAAGGAGAAACTGACCACTAAGCAGATTTTCTCTGAAAACAGAACTTCTTATTTTTCCTATTATTGATCCTTGAAAAAAAAAAAAAAAAAAAAAAAATGCAATCATGAATGACATCCTCAGTAGATTTTACAGTTCACAAAAGATATTGCCGTTCGAATCGAACGAAATAACCCACCTGCCACTGGAGATGACATAAGTTAGTACAAAATGCATCCACTGTGATTTAGTTTAATTGTGTTTTGCAAATAAATGGGCTCCACAGAACTTAGTCACCAAGGAGTTCATTACAACTCGTTTCACTTTTTCTTGTTTTGAATTTTTTTTTCTTTAATATCATTAGTGTTTCCAATTATTATAATAAACATTATGTCAATAATTAAAATAATAATATTAGTACTGATATTAGAGTCCGGAGAGAGATAAAGGAGGAGAAAGAGAAAGAGAAAAAGAGAGAGAGCAGAAAATTGTGCTCAAAATTGCATGGAATGACAAAAATCAGGTGAGTCGTCACATTGGACCTATAATTGACTTCTAGGTGGCTGTCTCGATGTGGTGTGTGTGTGTTAGGGGGGGGGGGGGGGAAAAACAAACAAAACATGTACATGCATCCACAGACAATGGATTACCCATGCAGCGGGAAAATGACAACAAAAAAATGGGGGAAAAATGCTGTGCCTATTTTCTACACTTTTTTGTTTAAATGTCGGCCAGTAAGATAGCGCTGCTAGCGCCTGAATTTGACATGGCGGGAAAAAAGTATTTTTCACTAGTTGCCCATGCAATATCATTGTGTTATTTTTTATTATAAACATTATAATTTTTATAATGATTTAATACATTAGTACAGCAAAATAACGGTAATGTAAAATATTTCGTAAATCAAAGAAAACGGGTGAACAGGGGCGAGACAGGCACGTACTAGTAGTTGGCTTTCCATTGGGGATTTATACAATGTGTAGGCCCATCTAGTGTAAAAAAACAATACAACAAGTAATCGCACAGTGGGCATGCATTTGGTATGTAGATCGGGGGAATGGCGTTATTATATATTCTATTAGGTAGGTCCCACAGCTCATGGTTCTAAAAATAGCCAACATAAAAAAAGAAGACGTGATTGATAAACCAAAACATTTGCCATAATATTAGATGCCATAGCTACTAACCCAGTACCAGGGAGTGGGCCTAGAAAAAATACTTGGTTGTTTTCCCTGCATTTTTCTTTGATATAATTATACAAACTTTTACGTCTGTGACTAATCCTGTCTCATGGGAGATACAGCAGTTGAGTCGAAAACCTGATTAAAAAGGAAAGAAAAAGAAAAAAACATATTTTAACAATCTTAGGCATTATATGTTGACAGACATAATAAAAGGCTTGGTGGTTTGCATATTTAAATATGAATTGTATTTTCTCTTTACATAAGCTTAAAATGACTACAGATGTTTTTCTCATAACCTGATATAAAATTTTTACAACGACCGTATTACTGAAGTTCATAAAAATTCACATTTACAACTTTTTTAATGCCCCCCTTAAGTAATACATCTGAGCCTACCCTTCCTGGCAATCGATCTTCACACCAAACCTCTGTAGTCCATGGCAATAATGTGGTAATCCTGGCTTAGTTAGAAGACGGTACAGCTCAACACGGTAGTAAGCAAGACTCTTGAAAACCGGTTCCCAGTGCAGGATATGCAGATGGGCTTACCCTTCTTTTTTAAACTTTCCTCAAAACCATCTAGTCTTTTCTCGGAGTTTTTGCCATCTGGTTGCCGAAAACATCAAAGACCGGCAAGATATGCCATGGAGGATGAAAGAAATAAGTGAATAGTAAAAATGGTATTTCAATTTCAATTCGCTTATTTTATGCGTGTTCCAACTGATCATAAAAAGAGATATAACACTTACAATGAATTTCCATTTCTTTTGTGAGAATTAAGATTATCAGCACAAGAAAGTCCCTTGATATTCGAGTTTTTGAATAGTTCAAACAAAGGCTGGTTAATAAAGACAAGCTCACCATAATTCCTAGTGATACGTAGGCCTCTGTTGAAGATACAAAGTTGCGGTTCCTAACAAGTTGAAATCTTCTGGTTTGCTGAAATCCACTGTTTTTTGCTGTGTGTTTTTTTTGGTTTTTTTTTTAACCGGAAAAAAGGGGATTGAACATACACATGAGGAAAACAGTGCTTATATTAAAGAACCCAAAAATGACTTTCATGTTGACATCAAATTTCAAGTTTTGTAAATAAGTCATACAGAAGAAGCTTAAGAGCTGCAAATGTAACATGTAATCATCAAGAACAAAAACATGAAGTGGAACAAAGGTACAACTTACAGAGGAACAAAAGGACAAGGCCAGAGATGTTGTGGCGGAAAGATAAGTACGTTCAGCTCCAGGCGGAGTTAATGAAACAAGATAGGAAAATGCAACACAGAACAAGAACGAAAAACTGTGCACTACTGCATACATCTACTTAGAAACCTGCGCCCAATCGGGATGTGAAATATGTTTATTACATTCCTGCTTGCATATGTAAAACATATATGATTACATCCACACACAAAAGAACACACACAGGCAACTACATTTTATAGCATTATATACATACAAATATATATATAATATAAAAAGAAGAAAGAAAACCGAGAAAAAAAGAAAAGAAAAAGAAAATAATACAAACACAGATTGTATATATACAAATAAAAGTGAATAAATAAAACACATACTAAAAAAGAAATAAACAAGGATACAGTATTATAGTTGCTTAATGGCCAAAAACCAAGTGGGGTGCTAGCAATGGACAGGATAATTTAGTAGCTTATAATATGAGAAGCAGGAAAGTAGGAACTTACATGAAAATAATCACAGTTTTGATTTTTTGTCACTTTTTGTTTTTTTACACCAAAGGTGGTGCTTTGTCACCAAGGTATATCTGCAAAACCTACTATATCACTTTCGATACATAAAATGATCCATATGTATCCGTGTCTCTGTCTTTCGTTTGTGTGTGACTACTGTGCAAAGAGGAG